TTTTATATGATTTTTATTGACATCCAACCAACCTAAAGACATAAAGTTCATCTCTAAAGTAAGATGTTATAACATCTAAGAATGACAGTGACACACAGGGATGCCAAATACAGAGCACATTCCGCCTTCCATATCTGCGGTTTCCACATCTGCAGATTCAACCAATGGTGGACAGAAAGTACTTAGGAAAAAGTTATGTTGTTGCTGACATGTAATATGTACTTTAATGGCTAAGCACTATGTAGTTAATGCTTGCATTTATACTGAACATGTACATACTTTTTTTTCTTGACATTTATTAAACAATACAGTGTAACTATTTATATAGCATTTATATTATATTAGGTATGGGAGCAATCTAGAGATGATTTAAAGCAGTAAATCGTGAGAAAGAAGATACCTACTAAGAAGGACTTCTGGTGGCTAACTGGCCTAAATTTTAATAAACAGAGTCTAGCAGCCTTTTATACACAGGGGCCTCTCGCGGCACAAACTGCACTTCAGGGAGAAGCCTGCACTAGGCTGTGTGCCTCCTGCACTGTGTTTCTGCAGTCTGAGCCAGCCTTTATAAAGGAGTTCCTGAAATCCTGTTTCAACCAATAGGATTGAGGCTTTCCCCACCCAGCAGGAGCTGTGCAGCTATATCCCCATCATCTTCACCAACCAATCAAAGCAGCCCAATTTTGACCAATCAGGACAAACTGAAAGGATTGGGAGTCCTCATTTGCATAAGGATGGACCAGTCAGGAACCAGGGGTGGGAACTTCTGCCTATATAAGCCAGCTCCCCTCTGGCACAGGGAGCACACTTTCCCTTTCTACCTAAAGTGGTCTTTCCCTGGCTGGAGCAGATCAGCAGAGGGAGGAAGGGGAGGACTGGACCAGAGCAGGTGGAGCAGACCACCTGTCTAGCTAAAGAGGGGCTTTGCCCCAGAGCCACCTCTCCCCAGGGCCACCTCAAAGCCATGCTGTCCTGCTTCATGATTGAGGTGTAACACTACTGAGCTGTTCTACAGCTGTGCTGTATCACAATTAAGCTGTTTGCACTGAGTGAAGTTTCCTTCTTCACTGCACCCCAAATTGGGGATTCCTGTTGGGGTTGGATGGGCACCAACAACCATAGCTGACAAAGTATACAGGAAGATGTACATAAGTTATATGCAAATAGGATGTATTTTACATAAGGAACTTGAGCATCCATGGACTTTGATATGCGCTGGGGTCCTGGAACCAATCCCCTGTGGATATGAGCAATAGGCTTGAGTAATAAATTCTTCACAAAAAAACCCCAAAAATGCTACACATCTAAAAAGTTCATACAAATCCATGGTACTAAATAATAAAAAACTTCCTTGGGTATCTCTTCTCTTTTCTTATAACAGACCTTACCCTGTGATTACCTTCTTGGTTTGTCTGTTACCCAGCCATACCCACAGCCAGCCTCTCCACAATAAGTTCCATATGATACACCACTTTGCTTACAAAATTTCTTTGAATAAAACTTTTCTAAGTGATAAACAAGATGATTATAATTATGTCTGAAATGCTAACCAAATTTTGTAAGTATCAGCTGGCCTTGTAGAAACCATTATTGGAGGTAAGTCATGAATGATATTCCCAGCTGAGAAGTGAGGAATGGCCACCCTCCGTTTGAAGGGGATGAGGAAATGAACAGATCTACACACAGGCCTTCTGCACATTCTCCCTGTATAGTCATGTGCCACACAAACATGTGTCTGTCAGTGAAAGACTGCATATAGGATACTGGTCTCCTAAGAATATAAAGGGGCTGAAAAATTCCTATCACCTAGTAACACAGTAGCTGTGGTAACATTGTAGCTCAACACATTACTTACATGTTTGTGGTGATGCTGGTGCAAGCAAACCCACTGCATTGCCAGTGTATGAAAGTACAGCACATACATTACAGTAACAGGCTAGACCAGTGGTCGGCAAACTCATTAGTCAACAGAGCCAAATATCAACAGTACAACAATTGAAATTTATTTTAAGAGCCAAATTTTTTAAACTTAAACTATATAGGTAGGTACATTGTTATTAACTTAATTAGGGTACTCCTGAGGCTCAGGAAGAGCCACACTCAAGGGGCCAAAGAGCCGCAGTTTGCCGACCACCGGGCTAGACCATCAGTTGTGTAAGGACACTCTATGATGTTCACTCAATGGCAAAATAACCTAAGGACACATTTCACAGAACACATCCTAGTCATTAGTGGTGAATGACTGTAAATAATAAGAAAGAGAGACTGCCATTTATTCACCTGAGATATGTCTGGTTTTCAAGGTAATGGGTAAAAATGATCAAAACCTTGATTATCTTCATTTGGCTCAGACAAGGTACACAGACTCATTTTTTATGTTCTAAATACAGAAAATTGCTCTGTTTCTAAAGTAAATTCATACTAGAAACTTGCAAATATCTCAAGAATGCCTTGTAACGAAAGAAAGTAACTTCACTGTCTACTCATTTTGCTTAATTTTCTAGTCTCCCAGCAACTTTGTGCTAACACTTTCATCCCATTTCAGGTCCTAGCATAAGGCAGCAGTCCAGAACCCTGGAAATTCTCCACCTCCAGCAGCCAGTCCTTCCCTGGGGACCACAGTCGCAGGATGGAGGCTCTTCCCACGATGGCTTCCTGGCAATGTGCACGCTACCTGCATTTCACCTACCTTCTCCAGGCCACATGCCTGTGACTAAGCTCCCTAAGATCTTCCGAGTCACTATTCTGTGTTCCAAAGCTCCATCAGCTGTGGGGACGATTTGCAAGGTTCTCTTTCTAGTGGGTTAAGCGGGATTGGTGAGCATTACTGGGCCTCTTGGTGGAATCCTGCTATTTAAAATTCCTGCTGCTGGGATTAAGGGAGATAATGCCCAGGAAAGCTTCTGTAAACTGTAAAGTCCTGGTCCAATGTCCTGGGCTGTTCTAATATCAACTATCATGGCAATAACCACAACCCAGCAGTCAGGTGGCCTTCAAAATGCTCATGGCCATTTGGGCCTAGTCTTTGCTTCATTCCCAACCTACACTGGTGCTCAACACAGTAGAACCTCTCCAAGTTTTGTTTGGAAGAATCAATGAGTCACTTTAAAACATTACATGGTTTTTCAAATTAATGTCAACAGGCAAAACAGAGCTCAGCATGCCAATTTAGAAAATAAAAATATTCTACCCCAAATACTGAGGTGCTGAGAAAAACATACTGTAGAACAAAAGTTCTCCTGAAGATAACTTCTCTGATAATGAAATCTGGCCCTTTGCAGTCACTACTGGGGAGAGGGGGGGAGCACAGATTGGGGCAGGGATGTCTATTAGCTCAGAGCATTTGTATTAGTTCAGATGCCTACAGGAGGAGGCTGCCCTCCCTGAAAAAGGAGGGGCGATGAGTGTGAGGGGGTCAAAATGAAATCCCACAGAAGCAGCAAAGGTGGTGTGGGTACTGAGCATTCTAAGTGCAGGCCTATCCACATCACCCTGTCTTTCTAGGGCTGGGCATGGCAGGCCCTGTGGGAGGAGAGAGGAAGCGGAGGAAGAGATATTGATATGAAATGAATTATTCTTGAAAATGCTTTCATGAGCATTTGTGGGATTAGTGCTGATCCTTAAGGAGGTGGGGGAGGGGGTGTAACAGAAAGGAGATGGTAGTGTCTCCTTTACTGGACACAACAGAACCAGGAGAGTAAGAAGGGAAACTCCGGAGGCAAACTGTGGCTCTGAATTTAACCCAGGTGATGAGGATCTCCTAAGGCCCCTTTTATGAAGGGGTGGGGTGGGGTGGGGCGGGGCCTATGGGGAAGAAGTCCGCCAGCTCCCTGGAGGTCTACAGGGCTAAAGGGCTCCAGCAGCAGGGAGGGTCCCTGCACCAGCACCCTCTAAGCTCCAGAAAATATCGTGTTTTTGCCCATCAATCAGCATTAAGCTACTTTGGGGGCTGAGCTTTCTGCACAGGCAGTTGCCAGTAGCAACAGGGCACACACTCATAGCTCCTGGGGAGCTGGGCGGCTGCAAGGGAGGGGTGCCAGAGCAGGAGGACCTGAGCTGTTTCATAGACAAGGTCAGGGAGCCACTGGTGAGGGGAGCGGGGGAGGGGGAGGGGCCACCGTGGCAGGTGGGGACAGGCATACCCTGCTGGGCCAGGCCAGGCAGCGGTCCAGGCCACTGGCCCCTGGGGGTTGGGGGTGGGGTGGGGTTTGGTGGCACAGCAATGTCCCTGCCAAGTACAGCAGCCTCCTGGCCCTCTTGGAGGCGCCTTGCTCTGCTGGCACCTGGACCTGGGAGCCGAGGCCAAGAGGCGGGAGAGGCACCGGTCCTGTGCTTGGAGGGTCTGGTATTCAAGACCCGCCCACTGCCAGCCACCCCTCCACACCCTTCAGGAATCTCTGGGGGGCGCCCAGGTGGAACTGTGTGTCCACGTGTGCGTGTTTTCACTTGTGCTTCCAGCACAAAAGGGAGGCCCCACAGGTGGGAAGGAGGGCGTGTGCGTTGTGCTGGGTAGGAACTGCGTGGGGCCAGGAATGTGGATGCGACCTCACACACCCACCCGCCTGTCCAGTGGAGCGGTGCGCAGGGAAGAGCGCCCCTAACCTCCCACCTCCCTCCCGAACTTCTCCCCCTGCCGTTGGGATCTGGTAAGATGGGAAAGAAGGGCAACAGTGAGGGGAGGCGGTAGAGGGCAGAGATGGACCGAGGAGACCACGGAGGTAGGAACTGAAGCAGGGAATCAGCGGGACTAGTGGGAGCGAAGGGGCCGGGAGAGGCCCCCCACCCGGCAGCCTGGAGCTGGGTGCGCGCATGGGAGGGGCGCGGGCCGGCGTCTCCTTACCTGGCCTTTGCTGGAGCATTTTGCAGTGGGTCGGGGCTGGGGGCTGGGTGGGTGCCGTCCCTGGGGCAGAGCCTGCAGGGCTGTCACTTCGGGAGCAGCCAGGCGCTGGCCACAGAGCCCGGAGTTGGCAAACTTGCCATGCCCATGCCCG